GAGCCAGAGACATGAGTTTGCCATTGGACAATAATGAATTTCTCCTGTACAATCGTTAGAGATATAAGATATAATATGATCAATAACAAATGTAGCCCATATACAAGACTTCTGAATATTTCTTTAGACTCTTTGAGAAAGACAGCTAACAGAGAATAATAATTGAGAAAATGGAAATTAAAGCAAGGTTCGGCCATAAGAGAAAATGAGCTAGGCCAAAATATCATGCAATAAACCTGAAGGAGTAAGAATAAGTGGGGAAAGATCTTTAAGAGTAGATTTTTTTTCTATTCTATTATATACCACTAAGATTTGATGGCAAGACAAATGGAGTTCTGGGGCATTATATCTTCTTAGTCTGCCTTGACTATTTGAATCTAATAGTTGAGAATAAGGTTTCAAGATACAATTATTACTTATCCATCATTCTTGCATCCAATACAATTTTATTGAATGTTTACCACATGCCAAACAGCGGGCAGCTACTTGGAATACAAAGCAAGTAAAGCCTGGAACCTGTCCTCAAGGAGCTCACAGTCTAATGAAATCAGATTGAAGTCATTGCAACAAACGGTGGTAAGTGTCTCCCACTGTGGGTACCAAGAAGGAAGCAGGAAGAGACAAGAAAGGCTTTATAGAGAAGGAATATTGTGCTGAGTGGTGAGGGTGAGTGTGCACCCAGGGGATAGGTAGGGGCAGGGCTCCTCAAAGGTGCTGCTTGGCTGCTCGGGAGGTGCATTGTGGGAACTGCAAGCATCTGGCTAGTGTGGAGCATTGGGCACTGGGTGCAGGTGAGATTACAGGGATGAGGTTGGAGCAGTAGGCTGGAGCCACCTATGGAGAGCCCCCGGGGGATGATAAGGACTGTGGAATTTATGCTGGATGCAAAGGGAGCCTAAAAGGATTGTAAGTATGACAGTAATAAAGTACCTCTGGCTGTGGGAGAAGAGTAGACGGAAATGGCTGAGGCCAGAGGGAGCGAGGCTGTTAGATTATTTAACAAGCCAAGTCAAAAGTAGCAGCAGTGGGGATGGAGACGAAAGGAAAGCAGCAAGGGAGTGGCTCTGTGGAATGACCATGGAAGTCTGATTGCAGCCGTCCTCCCGGCTATTTGACTATAGATGAGGGGAAGGAGGGACATTCCTGATACTCACATCTAACTTATAACTCAGGTTATTAAAAGGCAAATCTTTGTTTAAATATATACTAAAAGCCCCCATTTAAAATTTTCCCATTTTTTATTTTGTCCGATGCAGGATATCCCTTTGAACTGCTGACAGCATCAGTTACTTCCTAACTTTCCAATTCATTTGACTTTCTTGATAGAGAGTGGGATGTTGAGCCCACCCTAGTGTGTCTCAGTTTTTGGGTCTCCAGATCTCAGTGTACATTGAGATAGGAACACAGATGTTGTTGCCATTTACATTTGTCTCCAAAATCATGACTGGCTAGATCCAAATCTCGCTGTTTCTCTGATCATCAAGTGTGTCCTACAACATTCTACTGGGCAATGGGCAATCTATTCAGTTCTCAGCTACTTTCTTTCCAAACCCCTGGAAGACCAAGAGATGCTACAGACAGTGGGTATAAATAACAAAGATTTTCATCAGCATCTATCACCTGGATTTAGTCAATATCTTGCAATATTAATTCAGCAGCCACTATGATGCAAACTGTACCAGGTGCTAAAAACTGTTTTTGTGTTTTGAGATGTTGATTCTCTTGGAAAGAACCGTGACTGTAATGGGATAATCCAACCATCACTCTTCAGGCATGGTGGGGAGGGCAGTCCTGTCACAGGAGGGAGAGCCTGACCATTACCACACTTTCCACAGTATTCAGTCTGACCCCCTGCTCTGAGGCAGCAATAAAACTATCTGCATGTACCTCAAGATGTACCAGTTCCCACCCTCGCTGCCACTCTGCCTACTGCCAGGGGGGCTACAGACCCTTAGCTGCTTTTTCCTCCTCTCTATTTCATTGTTTCTGCCCTACGGGTTCAAACAAATCTGAGCCAGGCCCCCTAACAGCTTGAAATAGCAATGGAAAGAGCCCTCAGGAAGTAGGCTGTAGGATAGGCCAGTTACCATTCTGATCATCTGAGACTGTTGAAGGATCCTAAGTAATAAATGCATGTGGGTCATGCATCTGTGTAGCTGGAGAGAAGGGAGAGAGGTGGAAGGTGCTGTAAGATGAGACTGGGATATCCATAAACTAGCTGCATTCATTTACTCAACCATTCATTCAACAAATATTTTTAGAGCACCCCTACACTGTTCAGTACTATCAAATCACTGAGGATACATTCTGAACAAGACACACATAACCTTCAATGCCTGATATTAAGCACTTTGAAAGTGAGAAGAATATTTCAGTGCGAGCACATTACTCAGTCTTGTGGAAGACTTCAAAGAGCAGACATTTAAAACTTGAAGGATGAAAAAGGCTTAGATCAAGGGCTGGTGGGAACTGGGAGAGGCCCACTGGAGCAGACGCAAAGGGAGAGGTGAGAGCAGGCATCTAGGGCATATGCCAGTGTGCACGGGGAAGGAGATTGGCCAGTCTCAGGCCAAACCATCTGCCCCTCCTGAAGATTACTTCAAATCTCCAAGTATTGGGTTGAACCATAAGAAACTGTCATTTTCCTACAAAATGACAGACCATTTTCCTGTCAAAAATGGTCTAATATCCAGGCCGGCCCGGTGGCGCAAGCGGTTAAGTGCGTGCGCTCTTCTGTGGCGGCCTGAGGTTCGCCGGTTCGGATCCTTGGGCACGTATCGACGTGCAAACCGTACTGTGGCGGCATCCCATATAACGTGGAGGACGATGGGCACGGAGGTCAGCCCAGGGCCAGTCTTCCTCAGCAAAAAGAGGAGGATCGGCAGATGTTAGCACAGGGCTGATCTTCCTCACACACACACAAAAAAAAGGTTTAATATCAGTAATTTCATATGGTTCAACCTAATACTTTCCTGAAAAATATCCCTTGACCATTTCCCCTCCTAAATTAGTTTCTCTCCAGAAAAAAACACAGTAGCATTGGGAAACATAAGAGCATCAGTGAGACTGGAGAAGGGCAGTGACAGTGTGGTGATGGATGATGCTCAAGGACACACAGAGGTCACATGGAAGAACGCCAAGAGCCATGCTAAGATGTTTAGGCTTTATCCTTAGGACGATAGGGACTCACAATGACCAGATTTGATTTGAAGATGCTCACTAAGACTACTTCAAGAATGGAGTGAAAAGGCAACACTGGAGACAGGAAAACAAAAAGCAGCTATTATGGTCGTTCAGTGAGAGAAGACAGACCCACCCTAGCATGGTGAAATCAGGCAGGCTGGAGGTTATTAAAGATGGAGAATTGGCAGGACTCAGTAACTGACCCTAAGTGGGAGATGAGGGAAAGGGGAGTGAGCCTGAGTCCATGGTTCTGCACAGGCAGCCAGTGAGAGGGCCTGACCAGGTGGGTGATGGGCCATTCATTGGGCTGGATGCACAGCAGGAAGAGCTGGCTTGGAGGGAAAAGGATGAGTTCTGGGCATAACTGTTCCATCAGTCTGATGATAAGGAGAGCAAAGACCAGAGGAAGCAGGAATTGAAGGGAACTAACATTTGCTGACTGCCAATGATGTGAGTGCTTTACATACAGTGTTTAATAAAATTCACACAGTGACCCTGGAAGGTAGGTACCCTTCCTTCAGTTTTGTAACTAAAGAAACTGAAAGTGAACATTTACCTGATATTAGGTAGTTGATAAGAGGTAGAGCTACGATTTACATGGGCATCTCTCTACAAATATCCATGCTCTTAAAACTCCAACTGCCTAATAATCTATTGGAACGTATGATGTGTGTGGTCCTTATCACTAAAAAATGATAGCTGGAGTTAAGATCAAGAGGTATATGCTGAAACCTGCCTCGGAACACATGGGAGAGGAGGAGGCCCCACTCAGCAGCACACCTGACCCAGACGAGTATCCTACTTTGTAAAGAGAGGCATTTCCTTAGAGGATGCCTCTTACCTGCATGCCCTCCTTACCCCACACTCTACTGACAACCTTCATCACAGTCCCGCGCCAAGTCTGGGGCATGGGGGAGCAGGGAAATATCAGTCAGTGCTTGGAAGAACTTGCTTTCCTTGCACTAGAATAAATCCTGTTGTACCTTGCTTGCTCTGCAGAGTAGAGTTTGGCAAGGCAGCCCCTCATAACATCTCTTAAGGGAGAAGCAGTATTTTAGCTGATGGCATTATCTTAGCAGATGAAGGTTTAAGGCATGGCCTATTTAAAGCTATTTAACAATTTCCAAAATAGTAGCAAAACAGTCTTCATAAAGCTAAATGACTTCCAGGGAAGAAAGCACATATTACATTCTCGTACTTGTTTCCTTAATTAGGAACAGATCCTGGTGGCTGGGATTTATTTTCATGAGTACACATCCACAAAAACCAGAAACATCTTGACATCCTGCAGCATCCCTAGTGTTTCTCAAATCTGAATTCCTAATTGGCTTTTAAAAAAAAAACAAAACAAAAGCACCCAGAAATTTTCACGCTGGTTTTGATTCAGGATTCAAAACAGAACCTAAGATGTACATTTTTATACTGTTCTAAAACATATATAAGCTGGGTCAAAATCTGTAAGACCCCTTTCAGACATTAACAAGAAAAGAAAATCAGACCAAGGCATGAATTCTGAATTTAACACACCAAAGAAGATTCTTCTTCTTCTGGAACATAAAAACTATCCTGTGATCTGCCCCAGACACTTTTAAACATCTTAATCTATTTACTTTTTATAAGAGGAGAAAAGGGTTAGGAGATGTTTGTGTGGCACCTGCTTCTTTCGTTACAGGATTCAAAGGACTTCTTTTTGTGTTTTTCTTTGTTAATTTATTACAGACATTAATTAGCCTTTTTCTTTGCTTTCACTAAATTGTGTTATGATAAAGAATCCAGATGTGCCATGGAGTCTATAGTGAAGAAACTGTCATCTTTACCTGAGCAGTTTATCTTCAAGCACTTCCATGTACTTCGCAGTATTCTCCTTCACACTTGTTTCTGCAAAACAAAAACCCAATGTTGATGCAATTGTAGTCAAAGACTGAACAAAACCCAGAACTGCTCAACTAAAAGCCAAAAATCAAAGAATCGCCATCAAGTTGCTAATAACGATAACATTCAGTGTTTGGAAAACACTCGAAACCATTGGGGTGGCTGCCTGGAGTGACGCTTTGGAAGGCTCTGATGCCTCCGGTGTCTCTGCAGGAGTTGGAGCCAAGGAACAGAGCACTATGCTGCCCCTGTTCTGTGCTCTCAAAGGCAGCTCATTGGGTGTCTGGCATGGGCCCTGCTGTGCTCTGTGCCTCTCACCCTTCCCACCTGGTAGCCAAGAGCTTGGTTGTAGAGTATGGGAAAGAGAACCAGAGAGAGGAACAACTCCCATCCTATGATGAACCAGAGGAACCTCACCAGTGGTAGTAGGGGATTGCAGATCCTTTAACTGAAAAACAAATGAAAACATGATCCTGCCAGTAAGTAGACATCAATTGCTCAGCTTCCAAGGCTGCGAGATCAGCTACTTCTACAGTAGAGATAATAAACTCAGTACCCCATAATCACCAAACGTTGAAGGAGTACAGTCACGCATAGCTTAACAAGGGGGATACATTCTGAGAAAGGCGTTGTTAGGCGATTTCGTCATTGTGCAAACATCGTAGAGCGTACTTACACAAACCAAGATGGTATAGCCTACTACACACCTAGGCTACACGGTACCAATCTTATGGGCCCACCGTCGGATATGTGTTCCATTGTTGACCAAAACATCGTTATGCAGGGCATGATTGTAGATGATTTTATGGTTCAACAAATCAAAGAGTTACTTTACTAACAAAAAAAAAGATTTGGTGCATTTTGGGCAAACTCTGATACCCTCTGTTTCCTCCTCTGAGCAATGAAAGTGCCTTCTTCTCAAGGTGATCGCTGACGGAGATGTGAATGTGAAGTGCCCAGAGGAGCAGGAGGCAGCAGAGAAACTTCCATCAAATGGTGGTTGTCATGATTGATGTTGTTGCCATTCCTATCCTCACTATTATTAATGTTATTGTGGTATTTATCATTTTTATTCCAACCTTTGTTCTCAAAGGTAATTTATGCCAAAGGGCACATTAACACTCTCAACTTGGGATACATGGAAAGCAGAAGCCATGCTGCCTGACTCTCAGCCAGGGTCTCTCCCCGGGGTACTCTTAGGACCCTATTTTTGTCAACATGTATGTTTTGGGGTGAGGGGCAGGGGGTGTATTCGAAATTTGAAAAAAGACCTTGAAATTCCTCATAAAGAAACCAAATATTTAGATGGAAATTAAAACAAAAGTTCTGGTTCCTTCATTTATCATAGACAAAAACAGAAATTTACACAATGAAAGCAACTGTTTAAGTTTGTCTCTTTTATCGATTTATTCTGGCCTAACCTACAAATTAAGTTGTGCTAAGTTTTTCCTCCAAATAAATTAGTTCAATATTTGTTCTCGGCCCCCACTATGTGGCGGGTACTGTGCTAGCACAGGGAGTTAGTTGTGGTGATACGATTCCATAAAGCAGAGATCTGCTCACTAGAGCATCTGGAGCAAGTCCTGCAAATTCAGAATGTCCCAACCAGACATGCTCTACTTCACATCCTATAAATATTTATGTGCCACATACTGTTCTTAGCCCTTGGGATGAACCAGTGAACCAAAGAGATAAAGATTCCTGCATATGTAGTGCTTAATTCTGGTAGGGGCAGATAATAAATAATAAACATAAAAGTTCCATAGAATACTAGAAGCTGGTAAGTATTATAAAACAAGAGAAGGGGATCAGAATGGGGCTGCAGAGTGGTCAGGGTAGGCACCATGGAGAAGGTGACATCTGAGTAAAAGCATGGAGAGGTTAAGGGGAGTGCAAGCAGGCATGCTGGGAAGAGCAGAGCAGGCAGAAGGACCAACCAGTCTAAAGGCCCTAGGGCAAGAGCATGCCTGAGTGCTCCAGCAATGTGTGGATGGAGCAGAACACTATCTGGGGAGAAGAGACAAAGGCAGAGAAATAGCACAGGTCCAATCATGTATGCCACTGTGGCAGACTGTATTTCCAAAACATGGCCATAGTGATATTTCTGGTCCTATATACTCTTCCAGAACTTGGCCACTCTCCCTCAAGTGATGAAATCTATTTCCCTCCCCTTGCATCTGCACAAGCTATGGCTGTTTCAACTAGTTGAGTATGACAGGAAGGAGGCCATATAACTTTTGAGGCTAGGGTCCAGTTTCTGCCTGGCTCTTTCTCCTGGGAATCCAGCCACCATGTTGTGAGGAAGCCCAAGCTACATGGAAAGGCCATGTGTAAGTGTTCTGGATGACAGCCCAGGCAAAGGTCTCAGCCTACAGCCCACATCAACCATCAGATACGTGAGTGAGTGAGCTTTCTGATGATTTGGGCCTTGCAGTCTGAGGGACCCAGACATCATGGAACAGAGACAAGCCATCCCCACTGTTCCCTGTCTCAATTCCTGAATCACAGAATTTGTGCACATAATAAATGGTTGTAAGTCAATAAGTTTGGGGATGATTTGTTATACAGCTGTAGTAACTGGAAAGCCATGTCAGGATTTTGAGTGTTCTGAGTGAAATGGGAAAACATTGCAGAAGATTGACCACAAACTGGTTTGTGGCTGATGTGTTGAGATAGACTGTAGCAGGACATGAGAGAAGCAGAAACATAGGGAGGTTAGAGCAATCATCCTGGACAAGGTAATGGGACTGAGACGAGGGTGACAGCAGGAGACGGTGATAAGAGGCAGATTTTAGATACATTTTAAAGAAAGAGACAACAGGAGTTCCTGATGGACTGAATTCAGGTGTGTGAAAAAGAGACAAGTCAAGAAAGACTACAAGGTTTTTGCCCTGAGCCACTGAAAAAATCGACTTACCATCAACAGAGATGGGAAGAACGTAGGTGAAACTAGTCTGGGGCGACAAGCAAGAGTTCAATTTTGGATTGAAATTTGCTATGCGAGTAGAACTTAAATGTTCTTACACACACACAAAAAGGTAAATATATGAGGTGATAGATGTGTTAATTAACCCAATGGGGGGAATTCTTTCATAACATACGTATATATCAAATCATCACATTGTACACTTTAAATATCTTATAATTTATCTGTCAATTATACCTCAACAAAACCAGAAAAAATAAAAGCAATTGAGAAGCTTAAAAAAAAAAAGAGTCCAATTCTGGATCTGACAAAATTGAGTTTATTGGACATCCAGCGGGGAAGTCAAGCATGAAGTTGGATATCTGAGTCTAGGAAAGGTCTGGAGTGCAGAAGGACATTTGGAAGACACTGGCATTGAAGCAATGAGACTAGATGATATCACTAAGGGAGTGAGAGGAACTAGGAAGCCCTCGGTGATCACGTAGAACTATGATTATGTTATGATAGCCACTTTCATTCAAAGGACAAAAATGCGTAGCACCGCCCCTGAGGAAAAGAAAGCCATATTCTTATGTTTAAAAATAATTCAGATGTATACCATCTTAACGATTTTGTTCAGAAATCCAATGCTAGATACTTGATGAAGGTAAGCACTTGGAGCTCCCGTCAGGGACGTGCTGGACCTACACAGGAACATCCAGGCCATTGCATGTGCTTTCCCACTTGCCCGGAGGCTGCCATCTGAAGAGGATGCTGTGTTGAAATATTGTCTTCACTGGATCCTGACCCCTTTCCTAGTCAGGCAGCCTAAAATGCCTTGCACATATTCGTGGGGTTGACTCACAACCTTCCAGAGAGGCCAGGACTGCCAAAAGGGAGTTTAGGTTTCTAACGTCCTAAGAAATCTGCCCACAGACACAGTGATTGAGAGTAGAGCTCATTTTTCTTCTCTTCTCACCCTCCCTCCTCTGCTTTCCCTTTCCCACCATCTTAAAGCAGAGACCAAGAGAAGGGTGGTGGTAGTGAGGCAAGGTTCCAAGAACCAAGGATGGTGCTGAAGGAAGCTGAACACTAAAGGAAAAAGGAGATCAGGGGTCACCAGGCTTCCTGATTGGGAAAAGGCAGGAATACTGTAACCACAGGCCCTCTAGGACCAGTTCAACTGACCCCATCCTATCAACAGAGTAATTAAGAGTGGTTTTTCAGGAGCTAAGACACCCTGTCCAGTTCAGGCCAGTTGAGACCACTAACCTGAGACAGGAACCAGCCTAACAAGATAGGGTCATCCACCGTTGAAGCCGCAAGGCCCCTGGCCTAACCATATAAGGCCCCTAACCAATCGGCAAGCTAGGAGAATCAGGTAGAGGCGACCAAGAGCCACATTCCGCAGCCTCAGGACTTTCCTGGGCTTACACATGCGTCCTAGCACCCAGGAGTTGGCTGAAAGTGATCTTTGCCTCATTACCATACTAAAAATCACACCCAGGGGTGGAGAGCTAGCATGCTAGCAATAAACATGATACATGCAGTAGCATGCTGCACAACAGTGCAGGCGCAAGCACAGCCCCACCTCTACACACCACGATGGAAGACGTCCCCAGCCCCAGCCTGATAAAAACCCCACCATGTAGTTATTCAGGGAGCCGCTCACTTCTCTCTCTCTCCCTTCTTCTCTTTTTCATGACTGGCTCCCTTGTGCACAAGCTAATAAACTTTCTATCTCCTCACTCCTGCTCATTGTCTCTCTTGATTTCTATTCTGGGGGACAATAAGAACCCAGGGCACCGGTAACAAACCCATCAACTGGGCCCGCACAAATGTCCAATAAGTGAACTTTTTGACGCCAAACGGCTGACGACTCCACACTCAGATCATGCTAACACCACCATTTTGTGAACATGCTTCCTATGAAGGGCCATGAAGCTTGACTACGCTTGCACAAATCATCAATTACCTTACGTCTCCTTATCTCCAATCTTCTATCTCCTCACCCCAGACTGCCCTGCCCTTCATCCCATAAATTTTGCCTCATGCTCTAGATCTGGGAGACAGATCTGAGAGCATATGCCTCCTGTCTCCT